TATCCCAGCTGTGATGTGATGATAGACTGCACTTAGCATTCCTTCAGGTAGTTTCTGCTGGCCATTGTAGTGTGGAATGGGGCTGGAAGATAAGGGAGAATGAATTCCTCCATCACTGAGCTGCTTTGAAAAGGCGTACCCTCAGACTTCACTCTCACTGGAATTGAACTGAGGTTTAATTCCCATTCGTTGCAGGAAATACTTTCACTCATCACTAGCAAATCAAAAAATCAGAAGCACTTTTTTTTTTTTGGTGATTTTTATATAGTGAGATGTGCAGGACTGGGGACGCTTAGAATCATAGAACCATGGACTCATAGAATGACCTGGGTTGAAAAGGACCACAATGATCATCGAGTTTTGACTCCTGCTGTGTGCAGGGTCATCAACCAGCAGACCAGGCTGCCCAGAGCCACATTAGTAGTTCCTGCAGCCTTCAGAGGTCTTGAGACCCACTTGGGTTACCTGTTTCTGCATAAAGCTAACTAAAAATCAACAGCAGTCTTCCCTATGTGTGATAGTTGTTTCTCATTCTTTTCCTCTGTCGTGACTGCGAATGGGTAGATAAGCATTTTTTATCAGGTTATCAGGTTAGATTACATGACAGTGTGGAGGATACATTTGAGTACTGCTACTTTAAATGCTATATTCATCACTTTCTGGCTCACACGGTACTCTGTGCTTCTTTGAAAGGGAGATAAATTGCCAAAGTGATATTGTTCATGAAATGTGTATTCCTGGGTTTCTTTGTGACTGATATTTTCTTTGTGCTCCCTTAGAAATACCACGGGAGCCTGATTTTACAAAAGCTCCACAGTCGTCCTCAGTACCAAATCCCTTCTCAGTGGCCACTTTGCACTAGCAGTTGCTTCTGAAAATCTTACACTGAATTGAAATATTGCTGCATTCGTTTTAGACAGAATCCGAGTGAATTCTCTGCACAGGGTGAGATTTTTTTTCAGTGGTTCTCAATTCTGTGTCCATCACTGAAATTAACAGGGATTTGAAGAATGATTTCAGTGGGATCAAGTCAACAGAGATGAAACTTGTACTCCAGAGCACATGTGTGTCACACGAAATAATTTCTGAGTTATTATGAGGGAGCAGCACTACTTTAAAGGCGTTCTGTCCTTTGAACCTCTGCTGTAGATCTTCTTGAAAGCTGGGAATGCAAACATCTCCGTAACAGGTTTTTCCAGCTTAGATTCATGAAAGGCCTGCCCTTAACATCGTGATATTCATGTTCTGTCCTTTGGAGTCATGCGATGGCAAGATAAAATCCTGACACGTGGCCCAGTTTTTTCACCGCCCTCATGAATAGATGCAGGCTGCTCTCGAGTTCTCAGCAGCTGCATGTGCAGTGCAACACGTTGGGATCCTTTCTGTTTTCTGCTCACCTGCTTTTCCTACAGAGGCAGGACAAGAGAAATGAAATTCCTTCATCAAACCTTTTTGTCCTTTATCAGGGAAAATAAAACACACCATTTGGCAGCTGATGCTTTTCCAAGCCCTTGTGTTGTGTTTCCCTTTAAGGACTGCACCACTTGGGTTAGCAGCACGGCGTTTTTGTTTTCACTGAGCAGAAAGCACAGGAATTTCATTTATCACCCCCTTGCTTGCCTTCTGGCCCCTAAAATCACATCAGATGTCAGTCTGTCAGCTTAGACATGGTTTTATGTAATAGGAGTAACCACTTTGGGCAGAGTGTGTCCCTGATACATCTATTGTTAGGAGATCTTTGGAGGCAGCATGTGCACAGCTGAGATTTTGTACCATCTGCGTGTTATTTTAGGTTGGGAGTGTAGAAGTGAAAGCCCTGCAAGAAACCCACACCTAACAGATCCAAACTCCCCGAGTTTTGGGCCCTCTCCTTGGCTCACACTCTGACCTTGCTCTGGCCCATGGTGTGAGCAGCAGCATCATGACTCCAAGCCTTCAAGTCTCACAAGCAGCACAGCTTGTTTGGCTGTTTTTAGAGAAGGAAAACTAGCAGCTTGGAAGAATGTCTATTGCTCAAGTGTGGTAGAAGAGGCAATTTGCATACCAAATGTATTTCAGGAATGTCTGAGGGCAGGGTGTGTGCTGGGGGCTGGCGGGTTTGCAAGCCTGTAAATCCATGTGTGCCATCTGAAGGGGAAGGTGTATGGTGAGCTTGGGGTGTGTTGGGATGCTGCTCTCAGCCATGGGGTTTGGGGTGATGTGTGCAGCCAGATGTTGGGCTTGGTGGTCCTATGAGTCCCTTCCACTTGGGGATATTGTGTGATCCTGAGAGGAACCTTTGCTTTTGTTCCTTTTTCTGTAGGGTGATGAGGCACTGGAACAGGCTGCCCAAGGAGGCTGTGGATGCCCCATCCCTGCAGGCATTCAAGGCCAGGCTGGATGTGGCTCTGGGCAGCCTGGGCTGCTGGTTGGTGACCTGCACACAGCAGGGGGTTGGAACTGGATGATCACTGTGCTCCTTTTCAACCCAGGCCATTCTATGATTCTGTGATTCTATGAATCTGTGATTCCTGCTTTAAGACTGCTCACCTCCTGGATGGCTGTGGCAAATAAAGCCCTCCTGACTCTTTTCTGCATCTCAAAAAGTAGGATTGTGGTACTCAGCGTAGCGCAGAGCACTAAGAGCTGAGCACAGGAGATTGTAAGAGCCAGATTTAGGGTGTTGTTGCAGCCAGGGCTCACTAAAAGCAGTGCTTGGTTTTTCTGTCGAGCTCAGGTGTGCTAACAGTTAAGTGACAGCGCTCCTGGCACTGTCTAAAAGTGAAAAAATGATGTAGTTTTACTTCTGCTTCGACTTTAACTCGTAGTGTAGCGAGCACATTTAACCACCACTACTTACTATGATTAAAGCATCCTATTTGACAAAGCAAACCCAGTGCAGATGTGACCTTTCTGCTGCCTAACTTTCAGTTTCTGTGCCTTTTTTTTTTCTTTTCTGCAAGCTTCACATCTTCTTGAATGCTCCCACCAAGAGACACAGCAGGGCTGGGTGCTGTGCTGCTCTTCTGCGTTGCGTGGCTGTGGTGCAGCAGGGTTGGGCTGCAGCCCCTGCTCCCATCCCCATCAAGCTGCTTATACCAAGGAATTTCTTTTCTTCTGCCCGGCTACAGTTACCCCATGATGGTGAAAGCAGGTGCAGAGCAACAGTGCCCAAAATAGCATAACTCCATAACTCTTCCCCCCATGGAGCATTCCCAGAGCCTTTGGTGCTGTGCTGCGTGGTGTCAGTGCAGTGAATTGAGAGCAATGGGGAGGAAGCAGGGAGAGCTCTGTTCCAGCCTCTATGCAGAGCATCTAGGCAAACGGTTCCTCCTTATCTTCTCCCCCTAATCCTCTGCTTCCAGATAGTAGCCCAACAGCTTCAAAGGGAGATGGAGTTGGGGGATAAAAGATCTCTTGACATATTTGATTTTGGGGGGGGGTTGGGGAGGAAAGCGAGCGCCTTTGAAAATGCAGGTCAGGTTTTCTCAGCTATTTTAGGTTGGGATGTAGAAGTGAAAACCTTGCAAGAAACCCACACCTAACAGATCCAAAAGCGAGCGCCTTTCAAAATGCAGGTCAGGTTTTCTCAGCTATTTTGTCTCTGTGCGTTTGAAGCCTTTTCTCTGTGTTTTTGTTTGTTTCTTTCCCACGGGATGCAGACATTTGCTCATCACATGCGATAACACGTGGTATTGATTATAGACATTGTAGACGTTGACGTTGAACATTGCTTAAATGGAAATGCTCTGAATAGAAGAAAAATTTCTTCTAGTTATAGTAAGGAACTGAAACCAAACCAAGTAAGCTTATTTTGGATTTCTACTGTTCCCCTTGGTAACAGCCTTTATATGGGACAACGAAATCTGGCTTGCATTGACTTCCTCACCACCACTCTGATTCTTACGCAGCAGACAAAGGCTGCAAATTACATTCGCCAAGGCTGAAGAGTTTGATTTGCACAGAACAATAACAGAATAACATTTGGCAGATGATTTTACCCGCAGCTTTTAATTGAGAAATGATGGAGCCGCTCACTCTTCAAAATTTCTGTGGTTTGGGGTTGGTTTCTGTTGTTGTAATGGAAAAATTTGCACTTCTTTAGTCCTAACTTGCAGTGCTGCACAGTCTGCATGTAAGGATAACGAAAGCTGAGATGTCCTTGAAAGGGTGCATACTGAACTCTAAAAACACCCCGGAGAAAAACCTAACTTTCCAATTTTCTTGGATGTGTTGTTATGTGGTAGAACCATGTTGTGAAATGTGGGCCTTTGGAAGAAGGTAAGCAGTGATTTGGGTTGGGCTTTGGGTGAATTCGTGTACCCAAGGTGAGTGTGCACGGATGTGAGCTCACCTAAGCCCTTTGCTTCGCCATGCTCTGACTCATGCTTTCAGGCTTTGTCTTGCAATCACAATTGATAGAGATGTAACACTATCAAGGAAAGTCCCAGATTTTTGCTTCTGCTTTACAAGAAGGTCAGGGTTCTCAGAGCTAGCCTAGAACTTGCAATGAAATCGCATGTCACTGCAATAAGGATTATAGGTCACCATTGCTGCAGTGACCTGTAAGCATAATTCATCACATCTCCAAGTGCTGCACTGGCAGAAGTGTACTCCATGCTTTGCCCTTGGGCAGGTATTGTGCTTACCCAAGGTAAAACTCCTTTTCTATTTAAAAAGCTGATGTGGACCACGGTGAGAAAATAGACCCTGACTCCCTGCCCTCTGTATGGCTGTGTCTGTGTCTGTTGTCCCAGCCATAGGGTGGCAGGCTGCGTGCTGCTTGACTGAGACTTTCTTCTTCCTGCTTCCATTAACCAATGGATACGTTCAGAACGAAAAGCCTTTTTGCCTTCAGAAGCAACACCCAGCACTTGGAGGATGAGTAGCGTTGGTTTTTTTCTCTCTCACAAAGCTGCTTTGGGGCCTTAGAGCACATCCCTGCTGGTTGGTTTTTAGAAGTTCTTAATTTCTGCGTCCCATCATGCATGTGTGTGAGTTTTTCCTGCCTCTTTGTACAGTTACAGACTCCGCATGGCCTCTAGATGTCCCTCCTCCTCTTCTCCTAACACCAGCACCAGGCAATGCAAGAAATCCAGCTGCACTGCATCCCCCTTCTTCAAGGAATAGACCTCTGGTGTCAGAGCAGAGCAGGTACAGCATGCAGCAATGCATGGAGCTCAGCTTGTTTTTCTCTTGGCAAGGACTGCAAAGCATTTTACAGAGCCAGAGCATTGCTGCTCTCATTGCAGCTGCTCACCAATAAAAAACAGATGTGAAGGGCAAGAGCAAGATGCCCTATGCCAGAACCAGCACCAGGATGAGGCTTTGGTCTCCATTTACTGTTTGTATCTGAGAGCAGTAGTGGGTAAAGTGCTTTGGGATCCTGTAAGTTGTGTGGGTGAATGCTGAGCAAATTTTAGATAAAAACCAAAACCTGGTTGGCTGCTCTGCTTGAATGCCAGAGGCTCAAAGCCCTTAATTAATTACAATGTAATTTGGAGCTGTGTTAACACACAGAAAAATCAGTTAGTGTTGTGGCAAGATCAGCTGCTGTAATGTATATGGGCTTGGACAAATTAATGAGCTGGTCCAGTGTGTTGGGTGACACTGAGTTATTTTCCCACTGGTTAACTTTGAAAAGACACTTTGTCTTCTGTTCCAGCAGCAGCAAGCAACTAATTGCCTGCTGTCCACTAATGTGGTCGCTAAGGGACTTTATACTTACCAGTATGGAGCTGAAGGTGAGAATGACTGCCAGCAAAATCAATATTGTTACAATATATTTGAAAAATAAAATTTGGGGAAAACATTAGGAAAATTCTAGAGTTCATTACCTCCCCCAAAACGGTAATGGTTGGTAATGGAACGTTAATGTCCCTAACTAAAAGAGGGGACATTTAGATTGGGTATAAGGAAGAAGTTTTTTACAATGAGGGCAGTGAGGCACTGCAGACACCCAAGGTCAGGGAATGGGGCAGTGAGCACGGATGGAGCCGTGGGTGTCCCTGCTCAGTGCAGTGCAGTTGGACCTGATGGCCTTTAAGGTCCCTCCCAACTCCAACCATTCTATGATTCTAACTGTGGCTTAGACCACTGAGTTCTGGGAAAGCCAAGCAGAAGTCATAGCATGGACATCTCTGCTGTGCCTCATTGCCCAGGCAACCAGAGCTGCTCTGACTGCTTATCCCTAACATGGACCCCGATTAACCACAACTCTCTGTATTTGCAGGAACTTTTGGCTGGAAAAGGGGAAAGGAGAGAATCCTCCAGCATTGTCCCAGCTGAGGTGAGAACAGTTCCTTCTGCTGTTGCTTTGTTCTTCCATCCAGAAGGAGAGGGACAGCGTGTGCTGGGATAGCATGGAGAAATGGAGAGAGCCAACAGCTGGAATAGCATGGAGAAATATTCAGACAATGGCAGGCAGGTTACCTGTGTTCAGAGAGCTGCAGGGCTGGGTGAGCATCCTCTTCCTGGCCAAACATGTCGAGGGGTTGAACGTACTATGCAATTAAATGCTGAGAAGACTGTTACATCGTTTTATTCCTACTTTGCATCCTAACGGGTAAAGAACTGGGCAACTTGCAAAAACCCACAGGGAGAGAGGTGGGTTTTGCTGAGGTTTCCACGTCTGCAGCCTGTGGGTACCCCAGTTCCTTGACTCTGTACCTTTAGCTTTAACGGGCACGGTGCCATTGCTTTTGGAGTGCTTCAGGACTCGTGTTTCTTTGGAAGACCACTTGTTAAGTGATCTCTGCAACGCACTGATAGCCCACAGGTTCCTAAAGGGACAAGCATCTGTTTCCTAAAGGCTGCTGTTGCATTTCTCGCCAGTCTGGTACTCTTCTTACAGCCAGGATTTGTTTGTTTGGTGATTCACATGTCACTGAGCAGTGCCACGCAATGGTTTTCTTTAAATATGGAGCTCTGTGTAAGCTGTAATGCAAGCATGCTTTGCTTCAATGGCCCTATAAAAGGAGGCATCGATGGAGGCAGCCAGGAGAGCCGCAGCAACATTGAGGTCAGTTTGAAAAATGCAGTGCAGAGAGATCTCTTGCTCCTAAATGCTGACAATCACACACAGGCAGCGGTGCTCCCGCTCATTTCACTTCTGAGATCCCACTTTTGGTGGGATCCCTGCTAATGTGTTCGAGTTTGGGATTTTTAAAGGAGGCCAAGGGGCTGATGGCCCCATTTCCCCCTTGTTTCGGTCAGTTTTTCCCTTCCCTTGTCTTTGCACTCTGCACAGGTAAGCACACATCTGTGTATCCACATGTTAGTTCTGAAAAAACAGGTGCCCAGTTGATACTCCTCCCCACTCCCACCCTGGAAAGGGCACAGAAGGATCTATTGTATATAGATCTACATATATATATGGCTTATATATAAATATGAAATGGCTGAAAACAGCTGATTTCGTATGGTTTTGCCGAGAATCAGAATGTTGGAGATGAATACAAAAGCTTTAAACAAAAACTATTGGTTCTGTTTGCTGTAAAAATGTCTAAGCTAAATGTTTGAATAGAAGAGCAAAGGTCATCAGGATCTTACCTTACCTAGCTGCAGATCTTTTGGATAACCCCTATTGCAGGCTGTCTAAGTGCAATTGTGGTGTGATGCTGAGGATTGGATGAGCCATAAGAAGCAATGTGCCCTTCCAGCCTGAGGGGGTGAGAACATGGAGGTGAAGGGGGCAGCTTGTGCCACTGCTGGCTGCTCTGCCTCTTGCCTACACTGCGGAGTCTCAAGGATGTGTTCCCTCTTGAGCTTTTTGCTAGCAATAATTTCCTCTTGAATGATGTGGTTGTACCAATTCCAAACCAAGGAGGAAAAGTTTCACAGCAGCCTGGAAGACTCTCATTATACATTAAAACCAGTAGGAAGTGAGTAACCAAATCTGCTGGGTAGCTTGGTCAATCTTGGTCAAATAGCACAGAAAATAAATTCCCTGGCCTTACATATCTCCAAGAAGCTGATGTGCACATAGAGCTCTCTGATCAGTTCTGCTTTCGTTTCACATGTCATCTTTCCTTTAATTTTCCCTGCAAAGTTTTCCTTCCATTGTTTCCTATTGCGTGTGGAAAACCCTGTTCTTCAAAGCAGGCTTTACCTTCCTGGGCATCATCTGGACAATTCAAACAGCAAATCCACAGGGCTTCATAACAACGCTCTGTCCTGAGCACCACCTCGCTGTGCCCTTCATTTTCCCAGGCTGCCCAGAGCACTGTGGGTGCCCCATCCCTGGAGATGCCCGAGGCCATGGATGGAGACCTGGGGCAACCTCACGTGCTGTGGGGCACCCATCCCACGGCAGGGATTGGAACTGGATGGGCTTTAAGGTCCCTTCCAACCGAAGCCATTCTGTGACGTTCGGCTGAAGGTGGTGCTCACTGCACAAATCCTCACTGCTCACGTGAGGATTGTTGCTGAGCCCAAATCCTGCTTTAAACAACCCGTCCTGAGATGCTCTCAGCTTCCAGCAGCAGTGACTTGAATGGAGTGCAGAGTTTCTGGCACGGATGCTGCTTCGTTCAGTGCCTTTGAGGCATACCAATGAGGTTAATAGGGGTGGCTTTTGTGCAATTTAGTTGTGCTGCTTTTTTTGTTGTTGTTGTTCAGAGCAGCATTAACGATGAACAAACTCAAGGGGAGAAGCATGTAAATTGTTGTGCTGTATGAACATTTATTTCTCCAGAGAAATTCTGGCCTATTGCACCAACCTGTACGTATGTATCTACCGTTTTAAAAGCACGTCTTTCTGTCCCTGGTTGTAAATGCTCTGTTTTTAAGCTTTTATAAGGTGTGTTACTCAACCAAAAGGCCACAGCACCCAGCTGTGTATTGTGGTGATCTTTTTGGAGGCTCCATTGCAGTCTGAGCTGTGGTAGAGAAATATCCACACCAAACCACTCATCGTTTCCCAGTTGTGTGGGAGAGTTGATTTTTCTTACAGGAAACAAATCAATTCAACACAGTGTCGTTTCTCCAGAACGATGAGGACTTTTTCTTCACAGCAAATTCAGGACCGTACACCATTTTTTATTATTATTTTTTTTTTCCCAATGGTGGAATTTCATGGTTTTGCAGCAACTTTTTAACCTCCCCGTCGTGTGCCTGCTGACAAAACATGAAATTCTGTTGTGAAAACCCAAGGAGAGCGTGGCGAAAAAAGCTCAGGTTCTGCATGTAGGAATCTGCAAGGCCAACCATGGTAGCTCTGCAGTGCTCTCATGATGATGCTGATGTTGAGGAGTTCATGAAATAAGGAGTTACATGGAGATGTGGTGTGAGCTGGCTGGTGCTCAGATGCTGAACATTGCTTTGGAAGAGTGAAAGCTCTGTTGCCCGTCCGTGTAAAGGGAAAGACCAATAAATCAATGTGACAAACCTCACTGGGGAGCTATGATTGTTATTTCAGCAAAGGACGTCTTCAAAATGGAGAGGCAACCCATTGTAGCTGTGATAGGTGTAGATAAAATGTTTGGGGCTTTGCTGGGTGGCAGAAGAGAAGGAAGGAGACGAAGTGCCACCTCTGTGCCAGGGTCCATCCGTCCAGGTTCAGACCCAGGCTGATGTGTGTGGGTAAGCTGCTCCTCTGTGGTTTGGAGTCCAGGATGGGATCAGCACAGCGTGATGATGTTGCAGAGATGGCGTTGTTCTCTGTTGGGGTCGATGTTTAGGCAAGGTGAGGTCCTTGTTTCATCCATCTCCACTGAGTGAAAGGGTTTGGAGCACAATGATCTTTAATGTCCCTTCCAACCCAAGCCATTCTGTGATTCTGGATGCTCCATCCCTGCATCTTGAGCAGGAGATGTGTTGGGCTGTGCGGGGCTGTGGGGTCATCATTCATCCCCATTGATTCAACCATACTCTTCTCAAATAAGTACGGATGCAATGAGCAGGTCTGAGAACATGGAGCTCAGATAGAATAGAAATGCCTCTTTCACCCAGAAAATCAGAAGATGCCACAGTAGATCCAACCTCTTAGTAACACCCCCACTGTTGTCACCATCACCCCGCCTGCAGCAGCCAAACTCTTGCAGCATTGGAGCCTACCTGATTTGTGTTGAATGAGTTATTCACTCACTAAACAGTCCAGAGGAAGAAAGAAAACCCGTCAGGCCACCTTCATCTTTGATGCCCATTCCAGTTGTGAATTGTCTTTAGTGGCTGTGGGACATCTCCAACCCCAACCCATCCTCACCATGCCCACTGTCCGTGTCTCTGACTGCCAACCCAAGGGTTCAAGCTGTGCTGCATTTGTTTTATGGCTTGCTTTGCAGCTGCCTGGGAGGAAGAAGAGGGAATTGTTAAATAGGCTGCTCTGGAAATTGTATCTTTAACATGGGATGCTAATGCAAACAGTTTCCCTCTGCTCCTGTAAAGATATATGAAGCATTGGGTCACCTTGACTTTCTCAGGGCTCAGCAGAGTTGATTTTCTGTTAATTTCTTTTGCAGCAGACTGTAAGATGTATTTAGCATGCCTCATTAGCACTGTTTACAAACAAATAGGTACATTCCTATCTTCTTCGTTTTCCTCCTAACTTCTTATTTTTCCTGGAATTCTGCTGGGGTGATGAAGTCTTGCAGAGCACAGCTTTTCCTCTCTGCACCACTTATGCCATTTTATCTACCATTCAAACTTTTCACTTCCAGAAGGAATAAAACCCAAGCAAATGATTCTGTTTCAGCCAAGAGCTGATGGAGATGCAATCTAAAGGAAGGCAGAAATACATGGGGGTTATTGCTATCTCTGATGCCAAGACTTAAGTGCATTGCTTCAAAATCCTTGTGAGCTCTACCAAATGCTGATATTTTTCCTTGCATTGTGCAGGCATCAGGATTGCATAAATGTTCCAGAACTGACCTCAGCAGTGCTGTCTCCAAAGGAATAACTGCATCTGTACTCCTGAGTTCCCAGTGCAAGCAGCCAAGGATTTTGTCTGTCCTCTGTGTTGGTGCTGTGCTGGAAGGAGATGCAAAACCTTTATTATACCCTTATTATACTTATTATACCATGTTTTTCTGATGCTTATCACGGGTTTAGAATTCTTGTAGGCTTCAGATATCAGTAGATATAATCCAGATGAGTTTGCTATAGGCAGCTGAGCATGGCCACAGCATGCAGAGAGGTGGCAGAGCCTGCCCATGCCTCCAAGACTTGGTGGAAGGTGAATGAGGACAAGGCTTGGGGCACATCCTCCTTCTTCCCTCCCAACCCCTCCTTCCTTTCTCTAAGGACTAGAACTTCTGATAACATCAAGAATGCCTGACATTCCTTGTAGACTCAGAAAATATGGTTCTATGATGGAATCACAGATTGGTTGGGGTGGAAGGGATCTTAAAGCCCATCCAGCCCCAACTCCTGCCATGGCCTGAGTGCCCCCCACCAGCTCAGGCTGCTCAGTGCCCATCCATGGCCTTGGGCACCTCCAGGGACGGGGAACCCACAGCTCTCTGAGCAACCTGGGAAAATCAATGGCACATCGAAGTGGGGCTTAAGACAGCAAAAATGAACACTCAGAGACAGTTTTGGTTTGCTGTTTCTCAGCTTCACTCTGCTGTATCTGATCTGACCCTAAAACCATCGACATCAGCACGGTGAGGTGGTGGTGAGAGGCAGCAGCAGCCCAGAACGCAGAGCTGCTCCATCCTTTGGCTTGGGACAGGGCAGGCACAGCGCAGTGACACGGCTGTGGGCTGTCAGGACTCACAGGACCCCACACAGCGCCATTGCCAGGTTGGATGCCCCACTGCTGGGGCTGCTCCTCGTGTCCCCAGACCTGTCCCTGCTTTGGTTGCCTACAGAATGTTGTGACCACACCTGGACATGGCAGAACGGGCTGACAATGGTTGGCCGGGGTGACAACATGGGTTTGGCCTACTTGCAAGGCTCCTGCTGTAGTTTCCTGGTTCTGTATTCCCCACCCTGTACCCCAGCCTTCATTTCCCGGGAGCTCTGCAAACCTTTCTTCCCAAAGACAACTCCCAGTCAGCATCCTTTCCTTTGCCAAGGGAGTTTTTAACGTAAAGACGACTACACTGGCTCAGACCCACTCGGGGTTACTTCCAGCTCTCCGTCTGTGCCGTCCCTGGGTGCTGTTGGGAGGGGAAGAGAGAGGAGCGATGCCGGCGGTGGGCGGGCAGGGGTTAACAGCGCAGCGCAGCCCGGAGCCGCCCGCATCGCATCGCATCGCATCGGGCAGAGGGAGGAACGGAGGGAGGAGGGACACTGCAGCAGCGGCAATCTCGGGGCCGGGTACAGGCAGCCCCTGCCCGGAGCATCGCTGGGCCGGGGGTCCATCCCAGCCCCGGGTTGTGCCCATGACCGACGCCGAGGATCCGAGTCGAGCCATGGATGTGACCCCCAACCCCGTCACCTTCTCGCAAGTTTTTGGGCAGCAGTGCCAGCTCATGGAGGCAGGTAAGGGAAGGATGTGTCTGTATGATGTGTATTTTCCTGCCTATCGCTTCCTGGCTGGCGACGTCCTCCCTCCCATCCCCTCTTCCCAAGGTCTTCCCAAATTTCCCCAAGGGGAAGGTGGGGTGAGCCCCGCTTCAGCTCCTCCCCAAAACAGAGCCGTGCTGCTGAGTGGCCACAACCCCAAGGCAAGGGCTGGGATTATTGCGTGCACCAAAACAAGGGGCTCTGAGCCACGCAGAGGGAATTGCTGCGGTGTTTGGGTGCGTGCGCAGCATTGACAGCAACTTTCTGAGGCAAAGCATGGATGTTATTTCAAAAGAGCCACGTTCAGGCTGGCAGTGCATCCAGGAATTTCTCACTGCATGCAGAGCATCTCCAGCTGTGTGCATAGAATCATAGAATTGCTCAGGTCAGAAAAGACCTTAAAGATCATCGAGTCCAACCACAACCAACGCACTGCCCTAATGACCAATCCTAAATCATGTCCCATCTCTGCTTTGGTTTCCAGTGCTATGAAAGACAGTGTTTATTTCTTCTATTTTATTTTTTCTTTGCTTTTTTTTTTTGGTGTGTGGCTTTTTGTGTTTCCATAGCACCTGGAAGCCCTTCTCCTTTCCCCATTTGTTTTCAGCTGGGACTGATTGCCAGTTACCTTCACCAGCTGGCAACTGAATGTGCAACAGGGCTGCATCCCCTCCTCCCATCTTGTTTCTCTGTGTTGACTTTGCACAGGTGCTCTGAACCCTCTCCTATATTGGGGTTTTGTACAACTCTGTGCAACTTCTGCTGTGGCTCTCATTGATTGAGTTAGGAAAAGATGCACAGGTTGAGTTAGAATCCAGGGAAATGTCAGAAAATTTTCCGAGAGGGTTTGGCATCTTTGGTGTTATAGGACATGGGATCAGTCCCAAGGCTGTGGGGTTGAGTGCTACATGAGGGAAAGATGTGTTGGAGAGCTGATGTCCTGAGAGAGGGGGTTGGTTTCCAAATGAGTAAGAGCAACCAGCTGGGAAAACACAGGTGGAATCGTTGCGTTGTTTGCTGTTCTTTTCCCTTTTTCCCAGTCTGTGAATCAAAGACTTTTGGCTCCCACCCAATAACTCAACCACGAGCTTCTCTTCCTCCTGAAGGATGTTTTTGTAGCGTTTGCTGAAGGTATTCCTGGGGATGTGCGATGCAGTGTAAGAATATCCCTGACAACCAAAGACAAATGACTCGGTCTTGTGTGTGTGATTTGGTTTCCACAAGCTTTTTATTTTCATGGCAATAGCAATAGATATACAAGGTGACCTTTTGGGGTCTCTTCCAACCCATACAATATGCAACACAGGAGAGCTGTGCACACAGAACCCTTCCTATTGTGCCTTCCAGCACTGCTGCCACTTACCTTGTATTTACTACGCCTCAGTAAGTTTGTTTGCTGTGATGTGCTCCATGCAGTTACCTGGGTGTTTCTGTTTGCACTCAGCATAGCACAGAGTGCAATGGGAAGGCTGTGGTTTATGTGGCTTTGGTTCACTGACACTGTTTTGCACCCTGAGGCAGTGAATCCTTGCTGTCACATGCATTAAATTTGTCTGATGCAGAGTGATCTCGGGGCACAGTCACCTTTCAAGAGCATGTAATTATAAAAGGGACTGTAACTTCTCTCTAGGGCTGCCTGTGAGTGAGGCTTCCATCTCATATGCAGGTTGGTTGGTTTTTCGTCTGGTCCAACTTACAGTTCCCAAAAGCAGGAAGTGAGGTGCTGGCTTTAGGATGCTCCTACATCTTCCTATCACAGCTGAATCTCATAGAACCATAGGATGGTTGGGTTGGAAGGGCTTCCAAAGATCATCCAGTTCCAACTCCCTGCCCACCAGGCAATGCTGGACGATGCTTTTTTAGAGCATGACTTTGCTTATCTTTGTGTATTATTCCTTGACTCTCTGCTCCATTAGATAAACT